TGTTGAAAGAACGTGGTCAAGTATTCTGCTATCTATGAAACCACTTAAGATTCTTGTCTACGTATATGTTTTATTTACATTCAACACCCGATGAACTTAAAAGCAGTTTAGTCCAAAACACACAATCTAAAGTACTTCCTTTTATTAATGGTATTATTTATCCTAACTTTATCAGCTTTCAAAGACCATGATTTTAATTACTTAATTAATGAACTTTTTCTAGAGTGGAAGTTTATTTAGACATAGATTATTCAAACTCACTACTTGAATACAAAACCTTCATTTAAAAGATGTTCCAGATAAAAAATTATTTGAGATGACGATGGATGTAGTGACTGTCTTGCTTTTAATGTTTTTAACTGAGGAAACTTATTGAATAGAAAGCTGATATGGCGGCTTGGGATGTATGCATCATAATTAGGAGAAATGAAGTAAACCGATCTTTTGAAGTTTTACTTTTCTTTTACTTCGCAACTGCAATAGTAATGGCTTCATAGTCATTGCTTAAAATGCGTAAAAAAGTCTCCCCCCCTTTGACTTATTATGAAAAAATACTTTTCGATTTCAAATAAAACAGGTTCTGTATTTAACTTTGAAAGTCGTATTATGAAAGTTACTTCATTTGGCTGGCATGTATTAATTAAAAATGAATGTTTGTAGAGAGTGTTCGAGAAAGGTGAACACAACTTTTATTTCCTTAATAGAATATTTATTTAATGTAAATTTGGCTGCCCAGACGGTATAGCGGTTAGGGAAGCCTGGCTGCGATACCGAAGGACCCTGGTTCGAATCCCGCAGATTGGAATTTGTGGAATATTATTATTTTTTTTTTTTTAATTTTCATTGCCGAAACTTGAATATTTTCGTCTTTAAAAGCACTTATGTAATTGGAAGTATATGACTATGACCAACGACTGCGGGTTGGTGTATTTAATTATGGCAAAGCACACTAGGGCTATCTGCCTAAGGGGAGGGATGCCTTCGTGGAGGACTTTCTAAGGGAAACTGGCTCGTATACACGCTACACATGGGGAAAACCACGAAAACACCCATACAGCCAGCCCGTTCGCGGGATTCGAACCTCGGACCGAACTACCAGTGTTCAGCGACTTTACCGCTCGGCCGCTGGTGGGCCCAACGACTGCGGGAAAAAAGGCGTGGTAAGGACTTTTAAGCCGGATAAGGGAGTGGATATACTGCCGATTGCAATAGGAAAATGAGGTGAGCAACTAGATGTTATAGCAGTCCTATATACAAAATTTAAACGTTCTACGACTAATTGTTTTTGAGTTATGCGAGGGAAACACACGCTTACCTATATACGTACAAGCAATCAAAGAAAACTCCTTTTTGAATCCATTTTAAGATCCGTTTTGGAGAAAGATGTCTTTTATTCTGCCCGTACGTATAGACGTCACGTAAAAAAAATCGTCCAAATGAGTTGGGAACTGTCAGAATTGATATTTCCGTTGAAATATGATACCCCAAAATTTTCGCGATTACAATAGTTCCTTTACTTCGAGAAAGGGAATAAAAATAATTTGCAAACATTTTCGAATTCCTTTCGTACTATAAAAGCTATTGTACACATTTAGACTTTGAAATGGCTTGAATTGAATAAATTCATATGATAAAACATGCCAGATGCTATGCTATGCAAAAAAAGGAATGCGATTTTGGAAAATGCATAACAGGACCTAACCTGTGTTTAGTTACAAAGGAGAAAAACATTTTAAAACTCATGTAGCCAGCTTCTTCAACAGTCAGAACTAAACAACGTACGCTGATGTTTCATTCGTTGAGTCACTGCCAGAACAAGAAGAAGACAATTTTTCAGTTGTCAGTCGCATGCTCATTAACTAATGAAATTAACATACTATATAAATATTTTCTTTATTAAAAAGTTCAAAGCTGTAACAGTAGTGAAGAACGTTCGTAATTTATTTTGATTTCTCTACGAAAGGCTTAAAATTTCTGTACACTTATTTGAAGGACATGTGATTTTTGCACACTTATTTTAAAGGATATATATTTTTTTGTACACTTTTTTCAAAGGATACAGGTTTTTATTCCTCATTATTAAAACATGCAAAAAATGTCATCAGGAATAACAAAAGAAACTAAGTTAGTGTGAAGATACAAATAAGGTGCTCGAGGCGCATGGATCAATATTCCTTTGTGTGTGAAAGGAACTAAATTTAGAATTTCTGGGCTTCTCTTTGAGTGCGAAGAATATTCAAGTTTTTCGCACACCATTTTTTTTTAATTTATTCGAGGAGCGAAAACGAATACATTAATTTCAAACTCTGAATTACTATCAGTTTTTTAAATAAAAATAACGCATCATTGCCTTGGAGCAATGTGAACAATAAGAATTATTCATATACCTAGCATTTGTATTTTACTTTTATCAAAATAAACAGGATTTATTTTAATTTTATATTCAATAAAATATCGAGAAAGTATAGGGAAATTCGTTTTATGCAAAACGGTTTCTTTCATTCTTATTAATGGGCTGATTGTTGTTAATATTTGAATAAAATCTAATTGAATTTTTTGTTCCATTCCTAACTGGAAATTTCCATTTCCGGTAATGAAAACATATTGCATTTTTTATGAGAATCAGTTATGCGTATGATACATCTGTAAACGCTGTTGATGGAAAAGAATTCTGAATCGTTATGCATGTAAGTGCATATTCCTTTTAGTAAAGGACAAGCTATTTATTTTTAACAATTAATTTGCTTGCCTGAACTAGTATGTATTTACATATTGTAAACTCATTTTTAATTTTATTATACCTTGCTGATAAGGATAATTTATTTTCTACCTCTTCTTTTAAATACAGCGATTGGGTACAAAATAGTGCAATATGTTTATATAAGACGGCCAGCTTTGGTTAGACCTCATAAGGTTTTCTCTCCTTTTTTTCTTAATGCCTTCGTGATGTAATTGTAAGCACTTTCGGCTGGCAATCAGGAGGTTCAGAATTCAAATCCCGGAGAGGGCATTGCTCTACTCCGATAAATACCTAATGACTCCTTGCGAAGATAATCGTCATCTAGACATTTAGCGATTGAATTAACCATCCACGTGGATCAATTTCTGTTTATTCAATATTCATATACACATAGTTTTCATACGTTTAGTCATCTTGGATTAAGTAAAGAAAATATCACATACAAACTTGAGCTGAAAAATATTTCCAGGAATATTTAGTTTTTTATCCCTTGTTCTTCACCAAATTCTGGTTAACCGAGCTTATATAAAAAGGGAGCAGAAGACCTGGTTTATTTTATACAAATGATATCTCGCTCTCTTTTAGCCCTGTCTCAGTGACAGAACTCCAGTTTCACAAACAGAAAAACAAAATTTATTATTACTAAAAACAGTCTAATAATGCATACATAAATTTCATATTTTTAATCATTTTAGAACCATCTTCAAAATTTATTGAAATGTCAGTACTAAAAGCTAGCTATTGTGAATCTAATTTTGGATGACCATGCTCAGTTTTTCTCAGTAACTTGTAACATTTTATGTATATATATGTAGATGCAATATTTCAGCTTTAAGATTTTCTTTAAAAAATATGTCCAGAATGTATTTTGATTACTATAAATACTGTTATTTTCATAAACTGCTTATAAATGCATTCTGAGATAAATATAAGAGTATGAGAGGGTCGTTTTAGATAGGGTCAAATAGAAGAGTCCTGTATAGTGTAACAAGTATTTATTACACACGAACATTAAATTTAACTTTAAGAAAATTACAGAGCAAGAATTTAATACAACCTATCAGGTTAGATACTTGGCTTTTACTGAAGTAATTCTCTGGTTACTCACCAGACGGCACCCTTGTTGTCGCACAGTTTAGTCCTTTCGATGAACAGGTTATTTGCGATTCACGTAGAAGACAATTTAAAAATCTTATTATTTTGTTAATGACAACAGGCGCTAAATAGCATAGTAGCGCACGTTTGTCAAGACGCGCTTCAAAACTTTATTGCTTCTGACCAATACAACAATAAATCAAAGATGTTATACTATTTTCTAATCGAAACTCAGCGTTCTCCAGTTATCCAGTCTAAATTGCATGATGTCGTATCTCGTGGTATAGTTTCGTCATTACTCGTATACGTCATTACAATAGGGACTCGTCTACGTCCCAGCACCATACTCTTATATCGTCCTGCTGCATTGACGAAAAGGATATACTAGCGCCTCTGTTGCGGTAGAAAATATCCGACTCGGAATCGAATGCGTCTTTTTGCCCGCCTGCCTAAGTACTGTTTAAACAATACGTAGATTCCAATTCGAGTCCCACTGAAGTAATTGTTGCCAACAAAGCTAACAGAAATAGCTCCAGAAGAAGGCGGAATAACTGTCGTCCTCATGATAATAATTTATGATACTGAAGTCGTTGGCACAAAGCGAAAACTTGGCTTTTGAGCTTATGAAAATAATTATCCTATTCTGTAATTAAATGCTGAAAGTTTGTATCAGTAGTTATATATATTCAGCCTTAGGGAAGGATCAAGTATTCAGTCTTAGTAAAGGTTTAGGTAAGCAATCAAAATTATGTGGAAGTTTGGACAACTAGCGCAAATGTTAGACTAGTAACTTTCACTCTTTGAAATAATGGACATGAGAAATTAATAGCATATAATTTCTTTTCCTACCGCTACTGATTTGTGAAATTAAATAGCTTATAAGATTAACAGATACAAATTCCAAGAATCAAAACTCTCAGCAATACCTTTCTGAAATCGAGTAAGTAAATAAATAATGTATTAAATAAATTTGCTTTTAACAAAATATTTCTGAAATCAAACTCTGATTTTTTTGTAAAAAACTATCAGGTATTCTATAAAATCAGATTAAGGATGTAAATGAGAAATAAACCATCTGTATTATCAGTATATGAATTGTAACACCGAGAGTTTTAATTCAGAAAAAAAAAATTAAATGGATCACGTGTAATCATAGGATACATACTTGTGCTATCTGGTAAGAGGTGGTTTGGCGGATTTTTAGGGCGATCCAAGATGTCATTATTCGACAAAGCTTCTTTAACAACTTCAAAAGTGCCCAAGACCACTACTAGACGTCTCCCGAGGTATAAACTGAAAAACAATAATGAGGAATATCTTAGTCACACATATAATTAACATTTTTTGCGCATGTAATATTTTGAAGGATGCATGTTACAAATGCGTTGAATTAGCATTTAAGACAACTAGAATTCGCAATTATATTTTTATAAAACAGAAATATAAAATTTAATAATTAGACACTGTCGCCATATTCTGGTGGTGACGAATTATCACCCACCACTTTTTTTTAATTCGGGCGTCACTTCTAGAGTCATTAGGTTGTTTCGAAGTAGGAGACTTGAAAAATGTGCAATGCTGTCCCCACGAATCGAACCTTGGATCTCTTGAATATGCTTGGAGTGTGCTTCCATTTACACGAGGATAGCAGGCGAAAATACCTTATACCATAACTTTACAAAACCTTATACCATAACTTTACAAAACAGTGATGCACTAAGAAACCCTTACCAAACTCATTTTGCATCCGTGTTTCTGAGTATATTTGTCGTATGTTTCATTTCGTCACGCAACGTTTGGGGAAAAATATTCGATTATTTGTTAATTTTGTTTGCACCAGAAAATAAAGAATTAGAAGTACATATTAAATAGGCCATATAAATAGGGTTATAAAAGTGCTTGCCCAAGACGAATGAACGGAGATGGCTGTGGTCCTTGAAGGCTTAAATTCAAAACTACTTGATAACCAAGGTAATATACTTTTCAAAAATCAAATACGAAAGTTTATACGCCGAGTGAATCGTCGAAGGTAAAAAGTAGTGAGTAATTTTTGTGCCGTATTGTTGCGTCTTATTGTCAGTTCTATTTAACGACTATTTTAAAATATAACTGCCAATTAACACTCTGTAATATTATTTAATATCATTTAGTGGATATGTGACGGGAGTAATGTAAGGCCACCAATATAAACATAAACTACGGTTTGTATAATGTTTATTTCTTCGATGAAATAAATTTGTATCCAACATGCAAATATTTAGTAGTTCTTTTATGTTACTATTCTCATGTGGAAGTTTCATGAATGCAACTGCGTAACTCTGTATTTTTCTAGAGTTATAAATCCTATTTTTAATTTTTGCTAATTTTAACTTCTTTGTGATCTTTATAGTTTCGTTTTTTATGCCTTTTCATATGCCCTGTTTCCAAATTTTCATTCAAGGTTTAATCATCGATCCATAACCTCATCACGATTTAATATTTACACATTACACATCAAATATTTGCAGGTAAAAAATATCAGGATTTTAAATATGCATATATTAAAATGCAGTTAAAACAAAATCTAAACCATTTGACCTTAATCACTTGTTTTAAAATTGTTTTAAAATATTTTAATACTTATGTTTAAAATATTTATGTTTTCATTAAAAGCTTACTTACAAGAAATTTACTACTTTTATAAATTATTCATAGTATATAACTAAACGCAAAATACATCAGATACAACATTTTAAAACTCATGATGTTGATGGTGTTGTTGTAGCTTGTCTGACTTTTCAAAGTCGAAGAAGTTTCAAAACAAAGTCGAAGAATTTTTTCTGGGCAAGAAGCAAATGATTTCAGCTGCCGTTGGCCTTCAGCACCACAACTTTATCTAGCTTCTTCCTAAATTTGATAGAGCGCACCCTGGGGGGGGGAGGGTTCGAGGCTTTACCACCTTCATCTTTTAAAGAAGCAGAACGTCTTCTTTTCACCTCAGAAAGTTATAACTCTTGAATAATTTATTAAACTTACCTAAAAATAGGTCCATAAGTGAAAGTCAAATCATGTAGAGTTCTGTATGCTTCTTTCCCAAGAAAAGGAAGGTATCCCAAAATTGGAACTCCTACTGGACCAGGAGGAAGATTCTTCTCACTGCTTCTCCATAAATAAATCGCCCAAAACGTACATGCTATTAATCCTAATTCTAAACTGTTAATTACTATTTCAGGAGTCACATTCAAATAGTTACGAGCTAAGGCTTCAGCATCCTGAATAAAATTCATGATTTTGAGCGATTGCTTAGGAGTTGAGAAAAAGAGCCTATGTGCTTTGCGTAACCTCAGTAAAGTATGTTTGACAGTGTTTACACTAATAAATTCTAATCTTCTGATCTAAAAGTCGGTATCGTATTCAAAAACTAGGCAACTAGATAAGGATCAGATGATATACCACTGACACAGATACTTGACAAATGTATCAGATTGGAATATTATGACAGGTACACTGTAGAGCTCCGTTTATCGAATGTAATTGTAGTGAAGCAGATCGAATAACTTTTGAGAACTATTTTTGACAATTAAAGTACATACTGCATTAAATAACACAGTCCATCATAATTTTTTAGGTAGCTCTGTTAGGTAAGGTATTTATTAACTGGGTAATGTTAATTCTGTTCAATCGTTTTTATCTGCTAGTTTTCCGTTAAATGAAAATTAGATAAGATATAAACGCATGATTATATATAATTTACTATTACATTATTATATATATTATTTACTAGCAATTAATATTCAAACCTGTGCTCGTGGAGAGATTTGTAGCTGAAATGGCGTAAAGATCATATTTGATGAAATGTGAAACTAACATTCAGTTAATTCAGTTCTGTTTAACATTCAGTTAATTCAGTTCTATTTAACATTCAGTTAATTCAGTTCTATTTAACATTCAGTTAGTGATAATTTTTAACCGACGAAAGTTGTTCCTAGAGTTAATGATTTTCAGTTTATTCTAAGTTCTAAAAAGCGTTTTGATTCAATTCTAACGACCCGTTGAGAACAAATATTTATAATCTGGAGTTTTTAACTTTTCGTTTTTTTCTTAATAGTGGGCATTAGCGTTAAAGGCGTTGGCCACCAGTATGGTCAGAAACAGTGGTCCCTTTATTAAGAAGGCACCTAATAGGTGGGCCACCGTTGCTTCCTATGACGGGGCAGACGATTTAGATCCATGCTTTCTCCGGGATTCGAAAGCAGGCCCTTCGGTACTGCAGTCAGAATCACTAACCGTCCGGGCGGCATTTTTCATTAATTTTAAATTTTTATAAATTGTAGAATAAATTTACTTCTTTTTATTAGAGTAGTTAATTACAAGAATCGATAGCTAAAAGTGAAGGTGGTAAGTTTTATTAATTTTGAGCAAGATTCGTTAGTTCCTAGTAAGGTGTTTAAAGAAACCTTATACATAAAAAATTGCATTTTGACTTATTTAAGAGCAGGTATATCGTTTTATGTTTTGACAAGTAGTGTGCTTATGTGCAAAATTAAAATCCAAATGAGAGCTTTAATCATTGCCTGTGGCACACTTACGAAAAATGGCTTCATTACTATAACCACTTTAAACAGAAGTGCGTTAGATGCAGCAGTCTGCTTTAATGATGTGTTCGAACTCATGCTAGTATGTTAAAATACTTAAGCCATTATAATCAGATGTTCAATTAAAATGATCGATCATGTTTAAAGTTCACGAGGCTGTCTTAAATTATCAAAAACTCTCTTAACCAGTCATAATAATAATAACAATAATAAACTCTAAAAATTAAGATGCATGATGCAGAAATTTTGAATGAAGATAATGATGATGCTAGGAAGTTTAAATATAATAACATTTTCAGTATTAACTAAATTTATGCAGCATTTGTTTACTAAAAATTCGCTTTTGTCTTATGTTTAGGTATACTTTGTTTACTAGTTGACCATAATAATAATAAGAGTCAAATTTTGTACTATGTAATTGGGTTGTCTCTTTAATAATACCTTAAATTGTAAATATATATATATATATATATATATATATAATTGTAAATGCCTACAGAGCTATAAAATAACAAAAACAAATTAGCTGTTAAATGTTTAAATTTTTTTTAAAGTTTTATTAAAAATTTACAATTTTGTATCTTTTAAACCAAAAAGTAAAATTCTTCTTATTGTTAAATACTACTTTTTACTACAATTCTAAGAAATGTTTTAAAGATATTTTAAACAATGTTTTCGAAACGTTTACGAAAATAACACACCATCAAGTTTCTTTGTGAAGAAAAATATAAATAGCTCTAGTATTGCTATTTATTTTTTTCTAACTGCTATGGAATTAATACTTACATTATTACACGTATATTAACTATAATGAGCTTAATTTCAAGGCTTTAAATATCTTAATCATAACTTTATTCTCAAACTAAATACTATATGGCTGTAAATTAATGCTCGTATTAAAATTGCTTCATTTGGTCAGTCTGCAAGGTTCTTGTGTTAAACTAACCAGTTGTTATGATTTTAACTCTAACTTCTTTCGATATTCGTCACAAAAATGCAAATTAGCTTGTAATGTATTGAAGCTGAGGTTTTTGGATCTAGAAAGAAAGAGAGAGTTTCTAGCATTCGCGCTACGCGGTTGAATTTCTGCCAGCTCTAACAAAATGCAATTATTTTGGCTTTGCATGCTCTAGCAGCCGATGCGTTAAACGTGCGGGTCGTTGGATTATTGAGACAGCTTATAGCTTAGTATGTAACTATGTTGTCCTACACTATTGATCAACGTTTAAATTGGTTTGATTGCTCTTACTTAATTTGCACTGCCACAAACAGCGGTTAACTGTAGCACGAGCCGTGCCCTGTATTGTTAAAAGTCCAGTTTGATAGCACCTTTGTAAACCTTTTGTTAAAAACCTTTGTAAGTCTCATGCTTTC